GCAGCAGGTTCGATGGGAGTTTTACACAGCTGATGCTTTCACAATTCATTTTTCACTTGGCTGGAACATCACACCTGACTCATTGCTTTCATGCTAACCCTTTATGGGACGAAGTGACAAATGAGAGACTCCTAGATTGTGCTGATTATGCACTTTTCTACAGGATGGAATCTTTCCCTCACTCATTACAAAGGTGCTTGAAGAATGATCTCGCGGTTAGACTCCTGCAGGCTCAGCTATTTGTGTAATCCCATGCTAATCAAGAGCAGGCTGGATGGGAGCTCAGTATAACAAAGGATCACAGCCTATAAAATAAGTTAATGATGCAGCTTTCTCTGTTTGTAGGCACAGATCTCTCCATCGTACTCCCTTCTTCCATCAACAACCTGATTGCTGATACGCTTTCTTGACATTGCTTCTTTACAGAGGCTGCCGTGTGCCAGAGGCTGCTCAGAGGCTGCCAGGCCACAGCAGAATTCCATGGCATCTCCTGGCTTCTGGTGAGCAAGGGCTGACCTGTTCCCTCTAACTGTATCAAACCCCTCGGTGAGCCGTGGCATGAAATGGTCACTCTTTGCCAATGCACAAAGAGGAAGAAGAGCTCTTGAGTAAACACTGAACTCTGCTAAAACCAGCACTCACTTCTGTCCCCTTCTTTCTCAATAATGATCCCTCTGCAACCATTCCTGGCTTGCTTTATCTACAGGCCCATTGAATCTCCTATAATCGCTCTCTTTAGAAAGTCTGATCAGACTTTACATTGGTATTATTCAGCATCAAGTTTGCCCTGGGGCCAGAATCAGGATTTTCTCTTCGCTTGTGCCTCAAAGGGTTCTGTGGCACTGATTGCCTGTGGTAGATTGGGCTGCAATGACCATCCAGAAAAAACAGGACAAGCTAACATGGTTGTGGCTTTGAGAACTACAGCCGAGAGTTGAATTAAAACTTAGGAGGGAACAGGTCATTTGGGAAAGGCTTCACTTAGAAAGCATAAGAAAAACTGTACTCAAGGGCATTTTAAATCCTCTAAATCTGGAAGTTACTAGTGGAGAGCAGGCAATCTGGAAAGTAACTGTACGGTAATGGTCATCCTTCACACACTTTTTCTCTCCAAGATAAATTTTTAAAACTTAAGTGGTCATTCATTTCCTATAGTCAGACAAGCAATACGTCTGGATCATTGCTATGGTTAGGCACGGTTCAGCTGTGAATGTTCAGGCTTTAAATACACTATGAAGCCAAGATGTCACGGTGTTCCTTGTGCTTGTATTTCCACATGCAGCTCTACGACACTTTTTCATCACTGTTGAGGCACTTAAGCAACTGTGTTAATGAGATTGCTGGTGACACTAACACACCTGGAGGACCTATGAACACTTATTAATGATGAGATCAGGAGCCACCAGGAGAGCTGGTTGCCTGCAGAGCCATGGAACTTCATTATGCATACCTAGCTCAAACGTTAAAGGTAACAAGTAATTGTCTCTTGTGCAGCTACAACATATTTAAAATGCTTGTAGTTAAGATATCTCCAGCTGCATTCCTACTTTCTTCTCTTCCTGTGAGATTGCTGAGCTATTTGTTTCTTTGAATTCAACCTCAAAAGCAATGTGCTTTATGAAGGTACTGAGGATGTTCTTTGGGAGTCACCACAGAAAGAGTACCATTGTTCCACCCCAGACTGAAAGCAAGGTTATTGTATGCTGTCTTCCTCAGTCAGCAAGATTTTTTTTAAACAGAGCTACATGGCTGCTGTCTTATCAGCTTCATCAACTCAGTATGGACTCTGTGATGAATGAAGCTCTCTTGCTGGAAATTTGGTATGCTATTAAAACAGTCTTAAATCTCATCATCTGTCTCTCATCTGCAGGCAAAGGATGACACAATCTCTACATTCAGTGAAACCAACATGGTGCAAGTGATCACAGATCTCCTCATAGCAGGCTCAGACACCACCACTACTACTTTATTCTGGGCTCTCCATGATGGTATATCTGGAAGTACAAGGTGAGAAATGCATGTATCTGCGCTTATACATGTCACTGTCCTTGCTCATGACAGGGTAATAGGCAAAATGCAGTTGACTCAGCTGCCCTAGTCCTGCAGGGTAAGGTGTCTTGGGAATTTCGAGTTTTTGCATAGAGTCTACATATCAACTGCCTTCTTGAATACTTATTATTAGTCCTTTTATTCTGCAGAACAAGTCCGAGAAGAGTTGGATGCTGTCATTTGTCCATCACATGGAATTGAATATAAGGACCGAACAATCCCGCCATACACAAATGCAGTTCTACGTCAGATTATGCACTACAGCAGCATAAGTGCAGTAGGGTTTACGTGCAAGTCCATCCAGGATACCACACTGCAAGGCTTCCCTTTACTAAGTTATGTTAATGTCACTAAGCTTTGGGGACAACCCTTAGACAAAGCAAAGCCAGGCAATAGATCCCTCTCACCAACTTAAACACCACATATTTTGTTTGTACTTTGTCCCAAGCTGCAAAGCCAAAGGTGAGTTTGAACAACTTGTGAGGAACTCTTCCCTGTGAATAGGATGCTGGGCATTATCTACATCTTGTAATATGAATAAAACCGTGCTCAGTTTCCCTCTCCTTTTGCACAGATGTTACTTTTAGCATTTTTCTGCACAGGATTTCAAGAGTTAGACCAGTATAAAGGTACAAGTATAATGAACCTCAGCTTCTTTTAAACTGGTACAAGCTAAATATAAAACCCACAGAAATTCTGGAAAAACAGTGCCTGTATACGCGATTTATTGTATCAGCAGAATGCTTTAGATCATATCTAACCTCCCGTGGGAGGTCTTCCCAAAGGATAAGACTTGTGTGGCTTTGGGGGAGAAAATCAAGACCAAAGTCAGGGGTCTTGGGTCAATATGAAGCCTTCAGTTCAGTGGTGGGTTTTTTCTTCCTCCAAGTTTTTGATTACTGTAATTACTGTGTCCTCTGGTGCTCTAAAAATCAATATTTAAGAGTGCCTATTAATTTTGAAATTAGCTATTTTGTCAGAGATAGCACAGTGTGACCCTGATTCTCACTCCAATAATAATTAGTTGGCACTTGCATTGGGCAATTTTAAGAGAGCAGTTGGTACCTTGGCAATTTAAGTCATTAGGTTTTGACTCTGTAAAAAAGATCCTTATATGTTCCTTTTGTCTTTCAGTAGGATACATTAATTCTGTCCTGTATAATTAAGAGCAGTGGTAGAGTCTTTGGCAGTTTAAACCTAATTGTTTCCCAAACAAGGATGGAAACTTTGTGAACAGAGAAGCCTTTATTGCTGTTTTCTGCAGGTGAGAGCAATCCTCAGTATTGCACACAGCTGTCCTACCGTGACTCTTTCCAAGG